AGCCCCACATGTGATTATCCGCCAGGCTGGCACAATTAACTAACTCAAAAATTATTAGCAATCTGGTTTAATCTCTCTAGAGAACTCTAATACATTTTGGTACTGAGAGTGGGGTGTTGAAGTGGCATTACTAGTGTTAAGACTAATCAGTTTAAGAAGCCCATATTTATGATTTTATTTCTCTAGAAGCACTCCCCCACTAATAATTATGTCACCACCCCCTAACGCTCCCATCTAATTTCTCAACCTACTGTTTCATCACTCTGAGGCCATGCAGATAGCTCTTAAAAGAGCATACAGCCAAAGCAGTGGTTCTCAACCTTCCTAAAGCTGCTACCTTTTAATACAGTTCCTCATGTTTTGGTGACCCCCCCAACCATAAATTATTTTCGTTGCTACTGCATAACTCTAATTTTCCTACTGTTATGAATCTTAATGTAAATATCTGATAGGCAGGATGTATTTTCATTGTTGCAAATTTAACATAATTAAAGCATAGTGATTCATCACAAAAGCAAGATGTGATGATATATTGGGAAATGTTTATTTCTAATGACAAATGAAATTTTGTCTTGAAGCATGGTGTAGCATGGGTAACAGTCTTCACGCCAGGTACTTGTAGGTGGGTGTAACTTCGATGGATAGAGGAGCCTTGTCTCAGTTCCTAAGACCATAGGAAATATGGTCTTGGGCGACCCCTGTGAAAGGGTTGTTCGACCCCCAAAGGGGTTGTTACTCACCAGTTGAGAACCACTGCCCTAAAGGCATAACTTTTATTACTAGTTTTAGACTTCAGCAGATCTTTCTGGTCTAAGATTGCTCCAGGACAATCGTTTGAGGGATTCATCCAACTTTCATGACTCAAGGAAGTCTGAAATTAGAACTTCCCTTCTGCATTTGTCCCCTTTTGGATCAAAATTCTATAAACCCCCTGGGGGATCCGTTATTGTTCTTTGTGCATTCGAGTTTGGTGTCTTGAGTACAGGGTTTCAGGAAGGCCACAGTTTACAGTGGGAACCCTCAATTTTTTACATTTTGAATGGCCACAAATGGATCCTCCACTGAGTTCTTTCCGACCACCATCAAAAGGTTTGCCCTCAGGCAGAGCATTTTTTGAACTGGATTGCTGCCCAGGCTCCCAGGGCAGCCCAGAGAGGAGCAGGGTGTTTAGAGACTTGCCTAAGGCTCCCTTGAAGGAAATAAGGGTACTAGGGACTGGATCCTGAGTCCTACCCTGACCTTGGCTTGGCCAGAACCAACTCTGTGATCTTTCCTGATGTAAACAGTGCACAGATCCCAATCTGGTCCCTTTTCCACTCCTGTGGTCCTGCCTGTAGCCATGACGAATTGCTCTGCCATCGGCCATGATCATGTCATGAAGTTCCTTTGTTTTCTGTGCTTTATAATTAAGCCGGGCGTCTCTGAATTCTTTGGACACCGTATGTTGTTGTGTTGTGGTCTTTGGACACCCTATGTTGGTCTCCTTCCTCTGGACGATTCACTTTTGTCTTTGCCACTTAAAAATAAAACGGACTCTGAAATGTATTTGAATTGGGGTGGGGGACGCGGTGTCCTTTCTCATCAAGAACAAGGGAGCCCTGGGGTGTAAGGCTGGCTGCGAGGTCAGCAGTTTGAAAGCACTAGCAGCTCCACCGGAGAAGGAGGAGGCTTTTGGAGAATGAGAAGGCTTTCAACTCCTGTGAAGATGTAAACCCACAGGTGCAATCCTACCCTGTCCTATAGGGTCGCGTGGAGTCGGAATTGACTGGATAGCAGTGTGCTGGTTTTGTTTTAGCCTTATCCTTGAGAACACTTGCCCCCAGTTGATTCCGAGTCGGAGCAAACCCATATGCAAGGAGAACGGCTCGGCTGTGTTTTCAAAGCTGTGACCTTTCAGAAGCAGGTCGCCAAGCCCTTCTTTCAACTGAAGATTCGAGCCGAGAGAACGCTATGGAGCAGTCCGACTCGGTAACACAGGCCCCCCCACCACCACCACCACCGGCGTTAGGACTCCGCAGCCACGGTTTAGAGGGTCGGTGCATTTTATTTTATGCTTTCTACAACGCGATTGGAGAGCATACAACCGTCGGCTCACTGTGATCCTCGGGGCCGGGGTGCTGGTTGGGGGCCTTCCTTGCCAGGACCACCCACCACGGAAGAGCTCCAAGTGAGGAAACGCAACCCCGAGCCCCACCGCCAAGACAAGAGCTCCGGCCACCAGGCCGGTCTGGTTGAAATGACAGGCCGAGTGGCCTGTCACTCACCCCAGGCCCGGGGACGCCCGCCTCCAGCCCCCGCGGCTCCGAAAGCAGGGATTGGACCCCGGCGCGGTGACGTGGCGTTCCGCTCAAGGTGGCCCTCCGCCCCGGGGACGTCCGGAGGGCGCTCGGGAGCCTGCGGCGCGGCTGCCCGGGCCTCGACTCCCGAAGGGCGATGAGGTCGGTGAGCTACGTGCAACGCGTGGCGCTGGAGTTCAGCGGGAGCCTCTTCCCGCACGCCATTTGCCTCGGCGACGTGGACAACGACTCGGTGAGCGCGTGCGCACCGCGGGGGACGCGCCCGCAGCCCCGGCGGGGCGGGGCGGGACGGGGAAGGGGCGGGGCCGCAGGCGCCGGGCGCGTGCCACGTGAGCCCTGGGCATGCGCGTTGGGGCTAGCAGGGTGCCTCCAGAAGGCAAAAAAACCCCAAAAACTTTATTGACAGCTTAAAGCCTGGCCGTCGAGAGCATTGTTAGGGGGACGTGTAGCTGGCCCCCCCCTCTCCTAGTGACCCCTCCTCTCCTAGTGACCCCCCCTCTCCTTGAGTCAGGGACTTGCTGCAGAGGAAGAGCCCAGTGAGCTCCGGTGGACAGTGCCCTCGGTCACAGCTTCGGGAGTTGAACCTTCAGTGAGAGCATCCCCGGAGTATCACTTCACCTTTCCAAGCCGCAAACGGTTTTTCAACCGGCAATGAAAACTAACGCAGCACTCGGTCCTCTGGCTGCCTTCATCGGGTTAGACCCTCCTCCGGTGTGTCCCACAGGCGCAGCCCGCGGTCCGCCGGGTGCACACCTGGCCCCTCGGCGCTGGAGCACGTGGGCAGGGGCAGTCGTTCTTCCCGCCTTAATGTGGGCTCCGCAGTGGCTGCTGCTTCGGTGGCGCGGGCATTGTAAGCGCCACACCCTGGTGGAAGTGCAGAAGCTCCTCTTTTCGCAGGCATTCCATCGCGCGTTTAAATGAGTCACTACAGGGAAAGCATGTAGAACGATGGGCGGCAAAGAACGAGAGTTTGCTGGAATCTTGTTCTTTGAATCGGTTCTGCAAATGGTAATTGAAGTGCCCGTGATGCTAGCAGGAAGTGCTGGTGGCATGGTGCGTTAAGCGTTAGGCCGCAGTTAGAAATCAGCTATGAGTCAGAATTGACTAGATGGCACTGAGCTATGATGCTATAGACTAGCCCTGGTGGCAGTGTGAGATACGCGTTGAGCTGCTGGGAA